TTATTAGAGAGAAGCACTGTGCAAGCAAAGCCTTTGCGGCATACCCTTTGTTTGACAGCATTGTTTCAGTATAAACTGTCACGCAAAGCGAGAAAAGTTGCATGTGAATGAGCCTTAACTCCTTTAAATACGTAAATTTTATACGCATGTGCCTTAGTTCTCAAGGTGAATTGCAAAATTTCACGACTAATTATGTTGTAGTATTTACAGTGGTTAAATATTGAAAAATACATGCACAAAATAAAGTATGGGCATATGTGTAAAGTACTAGTCTGCTTCCCGCRCTTTTTATCAAAATTTTAAATTTATGTAAAAATAACCAAAATAGTTAATGTAACGTCTTTGCTTAAATTTTAGAACTGTATTTCTACAAAAAAATATTTACTCTAATATCATTTAACACAAAATAAAACTACTTTTTATAAAGTATTAATTATGRTCAATATCTCAAATATTTATTTAAAATTTTTGTGATGCAAACACGGTTTGTTTCTTAATTTTATCTTACTACTTGGCCTTATGGTATGAAACATCAAAAATGACACGTTAATGATGAAAGTGTTGATGAACCATTATCATTAGTCAGACTGATGGGTCCTGGTAGGCTTGGGCTCGTCTGACTGACTGCCTGTCGTCTGTGAGCTATTGATGGCATGTGAAACATGCGTTTCTGCAGCAAGTCAACTGCCGCATCAACGAAACCACAAACAAGCAGCAAGTTCTTTCACGTTTGCACATGCGTTTTTATGTATTTGTTKTATGTGTGTATGTATGTATGTACGTACATATTTACGTTATTTTCTTGGAATTATCGTGTATGCCTACGTTTTATTATAGCGTTTATTTTTATTCTTTTGATTATCTGAAATACTTAATTGATTATAATTACAATCAGAGCAGCCGCCTTTTTTCTGTGGAAAGAATTCTTAAAAATATATTTTTTGTTCAAATTAACTATTGCGGGATGGCAGAAAATCTGCTTGATTTAAAGTCAATAATAACGTTTTTAACAATAATATTGGTTGATCGAAAAAGTATTTTCGTATTTTGTCAATAGATGTCGTTGCAGTTGTATATATTCCATTTTACCAATCACATTGTTTCATGCGATCCGAGTCGAAATTTTTAAAATTTACTCCCGAAATTCATAGTATGGGCCTTCCTCAACTTGCGGAAGGCCCATATCAGTGTCTCACACGTCGTTCTCAAGCGGTTGGGCATCTCAGTGACGTCGTTGTGGCGAATTTTGCGAAAATAWCTTGGCCTACATCCTTACAAGATCAAACTGACGCAAGAACTGAAGCCGCTTGACCACCAGTCGTATATTCGTGAATGGGGCTGAGCAACTACTTGAATATGATCCGGATTTTCATCGAAAATCATCTTTAGCGATRAGGCTCATTTGTGGCTGAATGGCTTCGTCAATAAGTAAAATATAATATGTGTTATTGGTCAGGCAGCAATCCATACGTACTCCATTACATCCCGAAGCAATTACAGTTTTTATGCTAGCGGGGTTATTGGGCCCGTACTTCTTTCGTGATGATCAGGACCGACACGTTACTGTGAATGGGAATCGCTACCGCTGGTAACTGCATATTTTTGGCCCAAATTGGATGATATGGACTTGGACAATATGTGGTTCTAAWAGGACGGCACCACAAGCCATACAGCGTATGTCACAACCAASTTTGGTGCACGTGTTATGCACCTACCTTAWKGCCGTCTCGGTCGTGCGATTTGACGCCGTTAGACTATTTCCTGTGGGGCTACGTCAAGTCCATGGTCTATGCCAAGCTAGCGATGATTGATGAACGTGAAATTSCAGTAGCGACTGGACTTCTGCGTGCGTAACAGTGGTGTCCATGCAAAAAAAAACGGATTCCATACATAATGGCATCGAATGTACTTTCACAAGATTAAAGAATTTTATTGATATCCCAAAGTGTTTTTGTTTTTTAACTTTTGTAGCGCTTTTATTGAAAAACCCGTAGTGTGTATAGCTCAATCTAAAAACGTAACAGTCCAACGACTTGCCTTCAAGGTTTTGCTAGCTCTTTATAGCCACTTTTAGGTTACTTAATAAGGAAATCATATTTTTATGAAGACTTTTATCTTGGGTTTGATACCAGTTAATTACATACATATGTATATACTATATATCCTATAATGAGCCGATATCGGTGGCAGCTTCTTCGTGAAAACATCGCGTGCGAAATTTCAAATCACCGAGAGACTAGTTCGTCTATATACAGACAGATGGAGAAAGCTAA